GTATCTACCACCGCGCTCCTCATTCTTTCATCAACAATTATGAAATCTATCATACTTCTATCATCACCTATTTCCCATTGTGACGCCTCATAATTATTATTAATAAATAATAATTAAATTCATTATACAGACATTTAAAAATGTCATAGAAATTATAATTTAAACAATAAAATGCAAATAATAAGCACAGAGTTCAAAAATATCCATTTGGAATATTGAATATTATATATATTAGTAAACGCATAAAATGTCTCAAAAAATCTCTAAATTTATTAAAAACCTGCTTGAAATGTTCAAAATATATCAAATCATATAAATACAAGGAGATTATATCGCAATAACAAAGATAAATAACATTTGTAATATAATAGAAAAAATGGATTAAAATTTTCTAAGTTAATGAACGTGTTCTTGTAATGTTCCCTTATATTGGGGCGTTGTCGGAGACACATACCCAAGGTTGTACATATATATGGGGTGGTCGGCTGACCGACTGCTAGTACTAAGGTTAAAAGCATTAATATAGAAGGTCTCTATGATGCATAAGCATTATGATAGCAGAGTTATGACTTGAAGTCCCATATGAATAAGACATACAGTAGTATGGTCTATGAAATAAAGCAAATATGTGGAAGGTCTCAAATATGTAAAAGCATTATATTGAAAGAAATGGGACTTGAAAAGGATTATTATAGTGGCGTGTAGGTTGCTTCGCAGCCTCTGAGACCGAGGTAAACTTGGACTCACTAACCGATGTGTCCTAGACATATCATCTTAGTGCCGGTGGTAAGCGGGTTTGTTGTAGCAATACGACTTGCCCGTGGACATCGCACACCCCTACCGGTTGTGGACGGCGTCTTAGCGCATAGCGTTATGATACGTCGGCTATCTTTCGGATTAGGGTGAGTGTGTTTGGTAGTACTTTTAAGTGCAGCAAGCATACTCAACTTCATGTCTTAGTGCAATAGCGCTATGATACGTGGAGTTTTGGCTACTGACGTCTTAGGTACCGTACTACTATGATACGTTAGTGGTATTTTTAGTTAACAACATTATCAAATTTTGTTACCAAAGTCGATAGGGATCATGTGGGTGTGTTGTGAGGGGGCGCCATCCGTATGATAGTTGCATTGATGCTTACTGCTACTTGCAGTATTGTGTCTTGTGATGGATCTGCGGGTGTGCTGCACCTGATTCGATGCATCTTGTGGTTCTGGTCGATGGAGGTATGCGGGTGGTGATGTCTGCTGGGACTGTCGACGATAGTCGTATTGATGCTTGTTGCATTCTGTAGCATTGCGTCTCTACGATGGTTGTTTGGCGGGTCGCTATTCTCAATGGTGCTCTCTGCGTCTTGGTTTGACTCACAACCTAAGTAGCTTTGCCCAAGTCGGGTCCCTTCATTGCGGGGCTGCAGACTGTCTGCCCTCCATGATGTTTTATATAACAACTTAATAATATATCTCTATAAAGTTCCCACCTTTGAGAGATTGAAGGCAACTTGTTGGTGGGTGAGACAAACATGATCGAAAAATGCATATACTCAACGTCAGAGACACAAACCCTTTCTGATGGCGAATTATTAATATTATCTTATAACTGCCTATTGAATATATCTGCCATTGTATTGGTTGGTGGAGCATATGTGTTGACCTCATGCGGGTGGTAGCTGGAGGGAGAATCTGAGGAGGCTCTCAAGGCTGCGGCCGAAAGCCGCGCAACGTGGGACCCTATTCCCTTGAGGTGAGCGGTAGACTCATGACACGCTCTGCGGCCAATTGGCCGTGCTGACCATGCAATTGGTGGTGATGCCTTACACTTACATCACGTCTGCAGAAACGGCGGTCTGGCAGGTGGTGGCGCTCACGGAGGGCTTTTTATGGTCAGTGTGCCGATTGTTGCCTAACCCGTGTGACGTACATTTCACTGTGGCTGGATTTGATCGTATTCTGTATGGCGTTTACACACATTGACATGCGCGACTTCGGTCGATGTTTGTGCTTACGCACTATCAAGGGGCCAAGTCCTCTTTTACTGGTTCGCCAGTTATTTTGCTGTGGACTACGGTCCAGTTCCCAACTTTGCGTACCCTTCGGGGGGAGCGCATTAAAATGGTTGGCGCTCACCGTGCGCGGCGTGTGTGGGGCCGTGTACCTCCTCCACATTTTTTTTTAAAATGTGGGAGAGCGAAGCCCTTGTAGCTGGTATTTGATATAAATATTGTGAGCCTTTTCCAAGCGGGAAGGGATTAATTAATAAGGAATTGACTGTTGTGAACCAGATACAAGTGGAATAGGGACAATTTATTGTTCTTAACCTTTTTGAGCTCTGTCTTCGTGAACGGGGTTCTCTAGCTTAAAAGACTCTACCAACAGCTTTCGATTGCTCTCGTGAATATTCATTCTTCTAAGATACACCTAAAAGAACTAAGTTACTATACAAACACAACGTAAAAAAGGGTCCTAACTAAGACGATCACGCCATAAATTTATTAAACGGCCTATATTTAAACCTTTAGAAAGATCAAGTTATACTGGTCACTTAAATTAGATATATTTATATATCTTACAGATATAGATTCTAAAGAAATACAAGTATAAGTGGATATATAGTAGAAAAGAAAAAAGATGGGGGGGGGTTCGTTACAATTTGGTGCCGTGACCAGGATGGAGGTTAAATTTTAAATAGGAGGCCGGTAATATAAAATTATGAGGTAGGCTATATGCCTACAATTTGTTGTCCGTGAAATGGAGAGGTGTCTTGGAGAGTGGTGTTTGCTGGGGGTGGTTGAGAGTCTGGGGGTGGGGCTTAAATATTAAAATGGAGTAATAATATAGGTGTGTGCATAACGGAGCGAAATAATAAAAAGTGAAATAAGTGGAAAGACTCAATTAGACTAAGTGAAGGACACAACAGGTGTAAAAAAAAAACAAAAAAAAAAAACTGCAATACTATATATTATAAAGTGAAATAAGTGGAAAGACTCAATTAAACTAAGTGAAGGAGACAAACGGCGTACAAAAAAAAAAAAACTGCAATACTATATATTATAAAGTAAAATAAGTGGAAAAACTCAATTAAAGTAAGTGAAGGACACAAAAGTGTAAAAAAAAAAAAACAAGTGGTAATAAAAATTAAAAATGGCTAAAAATAAGAAAAAATCAACCTCAATTAAGGCTAAGCCTAAAGATGAGATGAAAATGCTTCAGAAATTAATTAAGAATGCAGTGAAAACCTTTGAGGTTAAAATAAAGGATCTTGAGGAAAAATTTATTAACCAAACGAAAGATTACCAAATTAAAATAAATCAAGGAGAGGTGTCCGGGGCGAGCACCTCTCATGTAAATGATCCTAGAAAAAATATTGTATATAATGTACATAATATAACAATAGAAAAGCCGAAATTTGGAAATGGAAATACTCATCCAGTATCATTTTTGGAAGATCTCACCAATTATTTAAAGAAAGTTCCATCTAATGGTCTCGAAATTTCGATTGCACAAGAGTGCTTAGTAGGTGAAGCCAAGTATTGGGCTCGCATTAATAATGTGCGTTGGACAACTTTTGATGATTTTAAAGCTGACTTCCTAAGAGTGTTTTGGAGTGAAGAAGAACAAAATAAAGTAAAGAGATTCCTTGTGCAAAATAAATGGAATAGAAGTACACACTCCACCATGGTTAGTTATTTTCTTTATGTGGTTGAGAAGGCACAAACATTATCATATCCGATACCTGAAAAACAATTAGTAACTGATGTCATCAGACATTATCCTAAAACTGTGCAGCAATTATGGAGAATAGCTAAAATTGAGACAATAATAGACACGACAGATTTCTTAAAAAACTTAGATGACATCGACAAACAAGAAGAAGGTCGTGAACCTTACTATAATGAGAAAAGGAGGAAGTTTAATAATAATACGGAGCAAAAACATAAAGAAATACAACAATCATACAAAACATGGCGTAAACCCGAAGAGGGAAAAAAGAAGGTTAATGAAGTACATGAAATACATTTCACTAACGACCAACCTGATGTTACGGCCCCTGAGCCAAATTTAGAGCTGTAGAGGTCGAACTAGTTCCCGATTCGACCCCTTACAATGTAAAAGGGAACAAAGCATATGTTATTAAAACTGGGTTGGCGACCTGGTCAAACATTGGGTAAAAACAATAGAGGGTTGCGAAAACCTATTACTTTAAAAGCAAATTTTAACAGAGAAGGCCTTGGTTATAACGACAATGTAAATAGCATATTAAACACCTTAAAAGCCAGGTCGGACTTGCCCATAACGGAGTTATTCGTGCAAACCGTCTTCGAGGAAGACGAAGATAAATATCAAAGGGAATTTATAGGGAATATGAGATCTGAAATTAAAGTTTCAATATTTGAAAAAGAAATAGACGCGCTCCTCGACACTGGGAGCGATGTTACATGCATTTCAGAAAGTTAATATTTACAAATTAAAGATAATAATCGTAAAATATCAATAATGCCAGTTAAAGCAATGCAAATAAAAGGTGCTGTTGGGCAGCGCAGCACAAAAATACAACAGATGATCATATTGCCTATAAAGATAGATGAAGTAGTTTTTGAAACATAAACTTTAATTGTAGGTAATTTAATAAGACCTTTAATATTAGGCTTTGACTGGCTCAAGAGAAATAAAATATTGATTGATTTGAGAAATACTACTGTTGGAATAGAATTTAAAGTGAAAAACAAAGACTACTTTATACCTTTCAAATATAATAATAAATCTGTATTACATAATAACTGCATCAAACAATGTACCGATGATCCCTTAATAAATATAAAAATAGGATCTACATTGGAGGTCTCTGAAAGGGCAAAACTTAGTAAGGTTTTGGAAAAGCATAAGAATATGTTTTCGAGCAAATTGGGAAGAGCCAATTGCTATGAGCATAAAATTGAAATGATCGATGATGAACCTATAGTTACTAGGTCCTATCCCATTCCATATGCATATAGAGCGAAAATGGAAGAAAAGTTAAATGAAATGGAACAAGCTGGTATCATCACAAGGACATCAACGCCTTACAGTAGTCCATTGACATTCACTCTTAAAAAAGACGGCTCAATTAGAGTTTTGCTTGATGCCAGAAGCATAAATAAGAAAATGGTTGCAGAAACAGAGAAACCACCTATACAATTAGATGTTTTGAATTCATTTCACGGAGCGAATTATATCACTACCATTGACTTATATAATGCATATTTTCAAATTCCGATAAATAAAGATGGTAGAAAATATACTGGATTCACATTCAATGGAAAGTCATATGTATATAATGTTTTGCCGCAAGGATTAAAAACATCAGTAGGAAGCTTTAGCAGAGCCATGAATTTAATATTAGGACCAGAAGTCCAAGAATTTTGTGTGAACTATTTAGATGATCTAGCCATTATTACTACAGGAACGTTAGATAAACATTTGGAGCACATTGATATTGTTTTAAGTGAATTGAACAAAGCTGGTTTAACGTGTAACTTGCAGAAATGTGAATTTATTTGTAAAGAAATTAAAATGCTGGGTTTTATAATTTCAACAGAAGGCATAAAGACAGACCCCGACAAGATTCGAGCGATTCAAGAGTTTCCAGCACCTAAAAAGATTAAACAATTAAGGGCCTTTTTAGGTCTATGCAATTTTTATAGAAGGTTTATACCAAATTACAGCGAGAGCATAATACCGCTCTGTGAATTACTTAAAAAGGGACGAAAGTTCCAATGGAGCGGTAAAGAACAGAAGGCATTTGATTTTATAAAACAACAATTTATTAATACAATACAATTGCATCATCCAGACTTTAATAAGCCGTATTATTTACAAACAGATTGTTCCGGTATGGGTATGGCCGGAGTACTATATCAGATAGATGATAATAATGAAATGAGAATTTTAGGCTATCATAGTAAAGCCTTAAGAGGCCCCGAATTAAATTGGTCTGTTACTGAACAAGAGTTTTATGCTGTAATAAGCTGCCTAAAGAAATTTGAAACATATTTGCGGGGCAGTAAAGTAATAATACTAACTGATCATAAAGCATTATTGTTTCTTAATAATATGAAGTTATTCAATGGTAGAGTAACCCGATGGATTTTGTATATAGAACAATTTAATTATGAAGTACAGCATATATCGGGTAGACGTAATATTGTTGCAGATGTGCTATCACGTTATCCTCCTGATGGCGATTTAATACAAGAGGATAAAAATAATAGTTTAGAAATTGCTTACACAGAGAGCGAACCGAATATTGAGTTGATAGAAAAATTAAAATCCTTATCAGTATATCAATTACAAGATTCAGAGTCGTTGGCTATTATTAAAAAGTTAAAGACATTAAATACTTCCATAATAAAACAAAACAATAAATTTAAAAAGTATAGTTTGAAAAATGATGTATTATATTACAAAACGAATTTACAAGAAGTAATATATTTACCTAAAGCATTGAGACAAGATATTATAAATCAAGTGCATGTCGAAATGGGTCATCAAGGACCCTATAAGGTAATTAAATATGTGAGAGACAGATTCTTTTGGAAAGGTTTAACAAAAGATATTAAAAACCAATTAAGGGCTTGTCATTTATGTCAGTTATCTAAGAAAAGCAATATAACAAATGTGGGTCCCTGCAAATCTATAATAACAGAAAACATTGGCGATATAGTCATGGCAGACTTATATGGACCGCTTGTATCAGGTACCTTTGGTTACACTTTCATATTTGTCATTCAAGATTCATTCAGTAAATTTATCAAATTATATCCTTTAAAACAGTCAACAGCAAAGTCTGTTGTAACAAAAGTAAAGCATTTTGTTGAGATTATAAAGCCCAAGGCAATAATGACAGATAATGGAAAACAGTTCGTAAGTAATCACTGGAAACAATCAATGAGTGAATTAAATATAAAGCCAATATATACCACAGTTAGAAATCCTTAACCAAATACAACAGAGCGAGTAAATAAAGAGTTGAGCAGATTATTTAGGACGCTTTGTCATACTAACCACAAAGATTGGGCGTTAATATTGCCGAAATTAGAAGAATTGTATAATAATTCTTACTACAATAGTACAGGCTTCACGCCTTGTGAGATTCTTTATGGTGAGTCTAATGAGATGTCTTTTGACAAAGTAATTTCCAAAAGTAAAGACAAACATAATGTCGAACAAATTAGACAACAAGTGCGTAAAAATTTAAAAGAGGCAAGTCGAATAAGAAACACAAAATTTGATAAGCGAAATAGATTAATAAAATATAATATTGGTGACTTAGTAAAAATTTCAAGATCTAGTAGATCAGACGCTGATAATAAAGTTATGAGTAAGTTCAATTTGGCATATGAAGGACCTTATGTAATAGCAACCGTACCATTTGACAATGTATATACCTTAGCAAATCCAGAGACAAACGAAATTAGAGGAATTTTCAATGCTATTCACTTATTAAAATATTTTAAATAATAATTTCTTTTTGTATAAATTAGAGTAATTAAATAAATATTGTAACATAAAAGGGTTTTGTGGGTGGCCCATGGAAATAATTGTTTAAGTTAAAGGTCTAAAATTATTAAAGTTATGAGCAAGAGATTTGTTATATGATAGTAGAACGTTATTAATATATAATGAAGAGTTGTAAATATAGATCGTAAGATAATTTTGTAATCATTTTTATTAAATAAATATGGGAGTTGGGTCAGGGCGAATGGCTCAAACACATTTATCCTATGTGGTATCGAACTGACCTCAACAAATATCAAACTGGATTGTATGCACATAAAGTGTGACACTATCGAAATAATGTTTCAAAGATTTAAAAATAAATTAATAAAATAAGAAATCGACAATTGACTGCAAACTTTATTAGCAACACGATATACAATAACTTGAATTATGGTGTTATCACATTGTGATAATTGTGGTTGAAGGGGTGTTGGTGGCGGCCATTCTATGGGGCAGGGGGATTTGATAACATATGCCGTATTGTAACAGATTAAAAGAGGAAAGAACAGATATATAAACAATTATTTGAGTGTAGTGTATATGCTCTCAAAATACTAAAATTTTATATTAACGACTCCACTATGTGGATCATCAACAGAAAATTTGGGGGTGGATTGTGACGCCTCATAATTATTATTAATAAATAATAATTAAATTCATTATACAGACATTTAAAAATGTCATAGAAATTATAATTTAAACAATAAAATGCAAATAATAAGCACAGAGTTCAAAAATATCCATTTGGAATATTGAATATTATATATATTAGTAAACGCATAAAATGTCTCAAAAAATCTCTAAATTTATTAAAAACCTGCTTAAAATGTTCAAAATATATCAAGTCATATAAATACAAGGAGATTATATCGCAATAACAAAGATAAATAACATTTGTAATATAATAGAAAAAAATGGATTAAAATTTTCTAAGTTAATGAACGTGTTCTTGTAATGTTCCCTTATATTGGGGCGTTGTCGGAGACACATACCCAAGGTTGTACATATATATGGGGTGGTCGGCTGACCGACTGCTAGTACTAAGGTTAAAAGCATTAATATAGAAGGTCTCTATGATGCATAAGCATTATGATAGCAGAGTTATGACTTGAAGTCCCATATGAATAAGACATACAGTAGTATGGTCTATGAAATAAAGCAAATATGTGGAAGGTCTCAAATATGTAAAAGCATTATATTGAAAGAAATGGGACTTGAAAAGGATTATTATAGTGGCGTGTAGGTTGCTTCGCAGCCTCTGAGACCGAGGTAAACTTGGACTCACTAACCGATGTGTCCTAGACATATCATCTTAGTGCCGGTGGTAAGCGGGTTTGTTGTAGCAATACGACTTGCCCGTGGACATCGCACACCCCTACCGGTTGTGGGCGGCGTCTTAGCGCATAGCGTTATGATACGTCGGCTATCTTTCGGATTAGGGTGAGTGTGTTTGGTAGTACTTTTAAGTGCAGCAAGCATACTCAACTTCATGTCTTAGTGCAATAGCGCTATGATACGTGGAGTTTTGGCTACTGACGTCTTAGGTACCGTACTACTATGATACGTTAGTGGTATTTTTAGTTAACAACATTATCAAATTTTGTTACCAAAGTCGATAGGGATCATGTAGGTGTGTTGTGAGGGGGCGCCATCCGTATGATAGTTGCATTGATGCTTACTGCTACTTGCAGTATTGTGTCTTGTGATGGATCTGCGGGTGTGCTGCACCTGATTCGATGCATCTTGTGGTTCTGGTCGATGGAGGTATGCGGGTGGTGATGTCTGCTGGGACTGTCGACGATAGTCGTATTGATGCTTGTTACATTTTGTAGCATTGCGTCTCTACGATGGTTGTTTGGCGGGTCGCTATTCTCAATGGTGCTCTCTGCGTCTTGGTTTGACTCACAACCTAAGTAGCTTTGCCCAAGTCGGGTCCCTTCATTGCGGGGCTGCAGACTGTCTGCCCTCCATGATGTTTTATATAACAACTTAATAATATATCTCTATAAAGTTCCCACCTTTGAGAGATTGAAGGCAACTTGTTGGTGGGTGAGACAAACATGATCGAAAAATGCATATACTCAACGTCAGAGACACAAACCCTTTCTGATGGCGAATTATTAATATTATCTTATAACTGCCTATTGAATATATCTGCCATTGTATTGGTTGGTGGAGCATATGTGTTGACCTCATGCGGGTGGTAGCTGGAGGGAGAATCTGAGGAGGCTCTCAAGGCTGCGGCCGAAAGCCGCGCAACGTGGGACCCCATTCCCTTGAGGTGAGCGGTAGACTCATGACACGCTCTGCGGCCAATTGGCCGTGCTGACCATGCAATTGGTGGTGATGCCTTACACTTACATCACGTCTACAGAAACGGCGGTCTGGCAGGTGGTGGCGCTCACGGAGGGCTTTTTATGGTCAGTGTGCCGATTGTTGCCTAACCCGTGTGACGTACATTTCACTGTGGCTGGATTTGATCGTATTCTGTATGGCGTTTACACGCATTGACATGCGCGACTTCGGTCGATGTTTGTGCTTACGCACTATCAAGGGGCCAAGTCCTCTTTTACTGGTTCGCCAGTTATTTTGCTGTGGACTACGGTCCAGTTCCCAACTTTGCGTACCCTTCGGGGGGAGCGCATTAAAATGGTTGGCGCTCACCGTGCGCGGCGTGTGTGGGGCCGTGTACCTCCTTCACATTTTTTTTTTAAAATGTGGGAGAGCGAAGCCCTTGTAGCTGGTATTTGATATAAATATTGTGAGCCTTTTCCAAGCGGGAAGGGATTAATTAATAAGGAATTGACTGTTGTGAACCAGATACAAGTGGAATAGGGACAATTTATTGTTCTTAACCTTTTTGAGCTCTGTCTTCGTGAACGGGGTTCTCTAGCTTATAAGACTCTACCAACAGCTTTCGATTGCTCTCGTGAATATTCATTCTTCCAAGATACACCTAAAAGAACTAAGTTACTATACAAACACAACGTAAAAAAGGGTCCTAACTAAGACGATCACGCCATAAATTTATTAAACGGCCTATATTTAAACCTTTAGAAAGATCAAGTTATACTGGTCACTTAAATTAGATATATTTATATATCTTACAGATATAGATTCTAAAGAAATACAAGTATAAGTGGATATATAGTAGAAAAGAAAAAAGATGGGGGGGGGGGGTTCGTTACACCATGTATACGTGTGAATCTTCTTATGACGAAAGAAAGTGTTCGTCACAACAAGATTCTTTTCCACGCATACGGCGAGAAGGCTTTCACCATTCTCATTTATACTTTCATCACCAAACGTTTCCAATATCCTTTCATAACCAAGCCTCCTCACCCCAACCCTTCCATTAATATCGCCTAATATCACAATATTTTCATTAACCTTGCATTTCATTAGCACCATCCTTACCAACTCCCAAAACTGCTCTCGAATATAAGTGGGCTTAGACATGTCTGGGGCGTAGACCCCTAAAACAAACAACTTCTTTAAGCCCACTTTCATTCGTATCCATAGCAGTCTCGGGCTTACACATTCATACTCTTTTACACAATGACCCATTCTTTCTGAAAGGATGATACCGACTCCCTGGCATGCCCGCTCGGTCTCGTCTACACCAGACCAGTACGCGGTATACATGCCATGTGTAGTGGCATGCCTTCCCTTCCGTTTCGTCTCATTCACACATAACACGTCTATTCCTCTATCATACATCATATCGCATACTTCATCCATCTTATCATTCATTCCTCCACACTTCCTTCTATCATATGCCAGAATTAATGACGATAATATGCCTGTAATCAATTACAGCACATCAATTAAACTAAATAAATCGACCAGTCTTAATTAATATTACTACTTCTTTTGCACGCCTTATAACGCGAAGCGTTATTAGGTAGTGTTTTAATCTCGACACGTCAAGATCAAGCAATTTCGTGTTCTTAAAATACATCTATTATAATCATATTGCACTTATACGATAAAATTAGTAGCCGTATATCAATAAAACACTAATTAACCCATGTTACATTTTCTTAAAAATCATTTTATATTGCTACTTTGAAAAAAAAAATAGCCGTTTAAAAATTTTACTTGAACATCCGGATCTCGATTCTGTATGTGGTCACGATAACTCAAAAAAAATGACGTATAGAGACCGGGTTTTTTTATTAGTTTCAGAATTACATCAACTGGTTTCCTATTTCATATCAATAGCATAGTACGCGTAGTTTTGAAATGATTTTATACCTTTATACATTTTATTGCTATTAAAAATTTAAGGACAAATGTACCATACAACTTATATCTTTCTAACTTCATCTAACTTATATATTTTGTGTAACCGGTTTATTTTAGTTTGGTTTGGTTATTTTTTCGTCAAAATTAAATAAAACGCTCATGAGGTGTGCACCATGGATTTTCCAAACTGT